ATTAAATATATTTATTTAATTGTAAGTTAATATGTAAAATTTTGTGTAATTACATTTTAATTCAAATGTATCAAGTTAGTGTATCATGCTTAATGAGACGACCAATATATATATATTTTATTTGTATTTGCAATTGACAATATCGATTTATATTAATATTTATGTATTATGTAAATATTATCTTAATTATTATATATTTAATGTTAAATGATTTTATTATCATCATATTAATAAAATTGCCCTACAAGAAATTTTAAAGTAACCCAACCAGCTTCAGACTTGTTTTCATTATTATCATTAATTATTTTCTTTTTCTAAATTATAATCATTTCAGGTTTTTTGAAATTTAATTGATGAGAATTATGTAATTTATTGTTTGATTCTAATAAACTAGTTGATTCAAACACTAGCATAACTTTAGATCTTTATCCATGTTCATAAGTTCGTCTTCTCCAGGTTTCTTAATTAAAAATATTTGTGAGAGTATTATATACATCATAGCTACTAAATCTATATATATATTTTTGTTAACAGATTGAATAGTGATTAATATTATTTTGAAAAATTGAAACAAACGCTGATTCAGTAAGTGGTGCTGAAATTGTTTGTGGCCTAGCATATTTTGTATGAAGTTTAAAATGTGATTGAATAAGATAGACTAATGTATTTTTAACTTCATTAATATGTATATCAGAAAGAGTAAAAAGATTTTCAGATAATATATTATAATTAGAGTGTTTTAATGTTTCATGATAGCACTATTCACTTCTTTTCTTGAACATCATATTTGGGCAAAGCGGGCATAAAAAAAATTCATAATCTTTTTGCTACAATGCACATTATGATAATGTATCTTGAGACTGCGATGACTTTTAAATTTTTTATTATCACATAAAGAACATAAAATACTGTTATTAGTGTTACTATTAATCATTTTTTTTTAGTAATTTTCAACTATCACATTGCAAAACTTGAAAATAGGTTGTAATAATGAGAAAATGGATTAGACACATTGTTATTATAAATTTGAGAAGTTGAAAAATTTGTCCAGAGTTTAATTTTAATCAATCACTAATAAATTTGGTAACAAAATTTTAAATTTGGTGACCAAAAATTAGCTAAATTTCGCAAACGCACTGTAATGATATATATCTATTCTTCTTTTGACTCTTGTATTCAAATATATTAGAACAAAAAATAATTCTTAACAATATAGATCTTAATCAAACCTATACTTTTAAAGAATTTGAACTTATAAATGAAAAACTAAAAATACATACTTTGGAGATTAACGAAAACCCAGTTGATCTCTTTGACCTTGATGCAAAAGGAAATTTAATTGCAATGCCTCAAGCCATACATTATATAGAAGTTACTGTTGCAGAGATCTCAGGGCAACTTCGTACATGGAAGCTTTTTTCTTGAAAAAATGGTGATATTAAAACATCACAAGGAGGATTTAACTTCAATATTGGAGGCCAAAGAACAATAAGAGCATCTGACGTCTCTTTTATACCTAAAGCAATATCTTATCAGTTAACACAATTGCAACTCTGGATTTTTCAGGGACAGCCTTTACTCCTACCTTAGTTGTTGAGGTTAGTGACACAGAAAAAAGATCAAAGTTCGAGAATATGAATTTTAAATTTATTTCCGATTATTTTGCACCTGGAACGGCTGTCACACTTGGTTGGTTAATTGACCCTAAGCAAAAAAGAATCTGGGTTTACAAACGTGATCAGTGTGGAAATATAATTCGCAATGAGCATCGTTGGGAAAATATAGATGGTGGTGACACTCTACCAGGGTTTGTCCTGTCTGTTCAAAAGATAGATTATGCAATCTCTCAAGTATGTCGTTTGTTTATTTACTTATTATATTACTTATGCAATAGATTTATTTACTTTAATCTGCTATAGGCCCCAACACCAGAAGCATCTGAAGATGAATATGAGTTAAAAATTAATTGTCCAGAATGTATTGAAAGTTTTACTGAACGTTATAAGTTCGTAATGCATTATGAGGATTATCATGGGCGAAAGAAAAAATAGAATGGATTATTTTCAGGTCATTATATTATAAGCAACTTTATAAAAACTACTCTGATATTTACGACCAAA